AAAGTGAGACTCATGGTCGTCACGACTAATCGAACACACTTACAGTGAATACGTTATTATTTCGTTAGGTTTCTTAAGTACATACATACATATATTTATAAGATTATTGACCCTTTGGCCACGAATAGGAGAGACTCTGATAGGAGTTCAATCGCTGAGACCCTACACGAGATTTTTCATCAGCGTGCATTTCTCCGAAAGTATATCGAAATAATCAAAACACTCAGTCGCTAATATTATTCATTTAACCAATAAACCAACATTATTCATTTATTCGTATTCTTCGTTGAATCGCACGTTGAAGTGCACGTGTTAAAAATTTAACAAGTAACTTTGAACTTCATTTCACGATATATCTAATAATGCTAGTAAAGTGTGGTAAAATTGCTTGTGTAGACATCTTCAGTTCGATCCGAGCAACGTGAAGTGAGCCGCCCCATAGGCGCCAACAGTACGCTGGAAGACAAGTTTTAAAGTAGCCAAAGGGTTAAATCGTTCCATATCATATTCTCTTTCGTTTCGCCTCTTAACCATGCGATTAATATTCATCAATATTTATCGTTCCCTTGCACCGATATAAAACGAGAACGCAGACGTTGAGAATAATTCGTAACGCGATATTATTTGCTCAAAAAAAAAAGGAGGGGGAGAAAAGAAGAAAGAAAAGGCGCGATATACAAAGTCGAAATGAAAGAATGGCCACGTGAAACGTTAGCAGGCAAAGGTAACTATACTTGTGTCCTATATAGGCAATAGAGGCATACGTGTATATTTCTCTTTTCGTCGAGCTATATCTACTATATCTCCCGGTTGAAGGTATTTCAATAAAAGTATTTTAGTCGATGTACTTAATCGCAAAGATAGAAAGAATCGCGAGTACGTGTTGAAAGTGTAGCAGTATGTAAACGGTGCAACGTAAATGAAATGAATATATCCTTAAATTTAGCGATAAACGATCGTTTAAATCGACCGATAATACTAGTTGGTACGTACGTGAATAATCTCTTTAATCCGTTTCCGTTGCAAATCTTCCGTTCAGTTCGGTTCAGTCTGACCGACTTGATTTCTCAACTTGCCGATCTTTCGTAAAAGTGATATGCGAGTCCGTGCATCGATACAAATTCGGACTATGATAGTTTCTCATTTACCCGTCGTTGGCAGGTTTCCCCTTTATTTCTGTCAGAAGTGAAGTATCATTCCTGGCGTAAAATCGATCTGTCAATGTTATTACAAGATCGATTTTTACTTTTCTTTGATCGTTGGGATATTTTCAATTATCGTTACGTTGTTGTATCTTCTCTAGGCTTCAAACCGAATTTATTCCGTCGATATATAAATCAGATTACGTTCTGACTACCGGTATAAAAACGGCCTAGGAACGACAAAAAAAAAAAAAAAAAAAAGAAACGGGTACAATAGCGTCGGTGCAGATTTACTTACGTTATTATTTGCACTCTTTTCGTTGTCGAAAACGATGATTCTTCCCGAAGTTGGACATATTAAAACGTCATTGTCAACGTTTGATGCGGTATCTCTGACTTTGAAGTGTTTCTTAAAAACTTTTCGATAGTAACAATGGGAATGAGAGGAAAGTGTACGAATATTAGTCTCAAGAAACGCGAGACTCCCCTCCCAATTCCTTTCTCAACGTTTCATTTGCTTTCTCTTTCTTTTCCTCGATTAAACACGAGCGGTGATATTATATTGTAATAATAAGAATAAACGATTCTAGTCTTGTTCGTTCATAAAAGCGTCAAGTTAAAGGAGGCTTACATTCGGCGAGACACCAAAAAGATGTTCTTGAGAGAAAAAAAGGAAAAAAAAAAAGAAGAAGAAACAAAAGATTATTACGTTCGTAAATTGAAATTTAAAACCGCGCGCTTGGAAATTGTAAAACGTAAGTTAATATGTAGTATAACGATAATACCGTAGAGATCGTGCGATGTCGCGAATGGTAAATCGGTAGAGTATTTACTCGCGCTGCGAGAGGAGGAAAGAAGAAGACGACGAAGAAGAAGAAGAAGAAGAAGAAGAAGAAGATAATATAGAATGGCGTAAATAAAGTTTAAAGCGAGTAAGAATTAAACGAGGCAAATTTAGAGTTAGAGATCTCTATTTAGAGAGGAATACTCTTTTAAGAGAAACTGTCGAATCGATGGGACGGGAGATGTGATTTATCGATTAAAGGCTATTCTAAAAACGGAGATCGAGGGAGAGACGAAACGGTACGACGACGCATTGTTCGTGTAGCCTTGCCGACGCTACGCTCGAGGCGAGTCTACGAATGACGAATTAAAAAAATCGAAGCCTAAAGAGCCGTCGCGCTCGGCTCGGAAGGCGGTCGCGTTTCCAACGATACGGGACGCGATCAATTATTACGTTACAATATACGCGCGTGTTATATTGTTTAAGCCAGAGTTGTGGTGGCTAACTGGTGGCACGCGTTACCCCCTCCACTGCGTCGATCCCCTCCACTTGCTTGGGAAGTAGAGGGGGAAGCAACAGACTGAGAGAGTGGGGGCTCAACGGCGGGAAATTTCAATGTAGTGGCCAACGATGAGAAAAGTATAAGGGCTCGCGGGTCGCCAATTAGCCCCGCGGCTCTGCTCCTTCAAGTTATCTTTCCATCACCGACGGTTATTTCGTCGACCAGCTTGACGGCAATTTTTGTTTTTTTCCCGAATGAAAATAAATGAACAGAAATTACTCGTATGGACCAGATTATTAAACTATTACATGCTCGTTCGCTAAACTTTAACGCTGGCCCGAATAAAAATACATTTCTCAGAGATTCGAGATGTAAGTAAATATGGGGACATGCAGATTGAAATGATCGTTGTCAGTGTCTTCTTTGGTGGTTTCGAATGTCGTCAACGTTGACGAGTGTGTGATGTTCCGACCCAAAAAATGATTCGACACTGTGCCAGGAAGAACGTGGAAATTTTCTTAAAGTTAAAGGGGAATTTCACGAAACAAAATAACGTTTCACCATTGTTTCTTTCACCAGAGTTTGTCCTTTTTATGCTTGGTAATCGCCGTGGAAAATTGATTGAAAGATTGCGAAACGATCGTCGGTGATGCCGACGAGATAATTTAAAATGTTATTCGATAAACAGAAACACATACATATATGCTCGAGGATATAATCGTGGATCGATGAACGATTAAAATAAATACGAAGTAAGAGATGAGAGAAGGAGTATCGTTCGCGAAACGGTATTTGAAAGTGTGTGCGCGACTGTGACCACTGTACCTACACCGTTAGGCCTTACTTTAGACAAAAAAAAAAAAAAAAAAAAAAAAAAAAAAAAAAAAAAA